TCATGATAACGGACTTGAAAAGAGAACTTAGCATTTGGAAATGGTAGCATGAGAAAATTCCAGATGACCATGGTTATATTCTTGGTGCACTTGAGACTTGAGAGGACTGAAACAAGGAAGTTATGATTTCCACCTATGGAGATAAGTAACACTCTAGGCTTGTCCTAACAATTTAGACAGGCCTGCCTGACGGTTTAAGCAAGTTACGACCAGAAAAGGAAGTAATCCGAGCACAGCTTATGATATGGAGACATCGTTGTCAATTTGGATGCCGGAATATGACAAATCTTGGACCAGTCTTCACCGCTGCCCTGTTGACAGCTTTGTTTTAGCAAAGGACATCTCTTGATGCGCAAATAAGAGAGAGACACAGGCAGCCCTTCGTCGGGAAACCACTTCAGCTTAAGGCAGCCAAAGATCTCCAATTCTTGAAGTAAGGTAAGATGCTGAAGCTCATTGTTCAGATACTCCAAGCTTGAAAATTCGGATATGGAAAGAGAAGTAAGGCTGGTTGGAAGCAATCCTTCCTCAGGAAAGGATACCACATCTTCACATTGTCCCATGATGGTCAAGTCCTTAAGTGAGGGTAGTCTTTGCAAACCCAACTCCAGCCGTTTAGCAATGAGTTTATCACAGTTAGAGATGACAAGTGAATTCAGATTGGATGGCAAACCCCCATCTGGAAATGACTCGAGCTTTGGACAATTAAATAGATTCAATGATTGAAGAGATGGGAGGAAGGTGTGCATATCTTCAGGTAGTAACTCTAATTTTTCACAACCATAAATCCATAATGATGTTGGATTTGGGGCACGCAATCCTCCTTTGGGAAATGACACAAAATTAATGCACCTGCAGAGCTCCAAGGCACACAAGGAGATGAGATCCTGTTGACATTCATCTGAAGCTGAAAGCGATTCCAAGCTACTACATCGACAAATGTAGAGAGTGCTAAGTTTCGGGAATAAGTCAAGTGGAAAGATCTTGAGTGAACCACAGCTACAAGTTATGGACAACCTTTCGAGAAATATGTAGCAGCAATGGATACTTGGGAAATCAAGTCTCCCACAGTTCTCAATTTTGAGTGCCTTCAGCCTTTCAGGAACCTTGTGAAGAGTTGAACAGTGAGAAATGTTCATCTCTTCAAGATGACTGTACATACAATCTGATAGAGATTTCAAATTGGGAGCGCCTCCATGTACAGTGAGCTTGAGCAACCCGGGTAGGAGTTCTTTTAAGGGCACTTTGTTGCAATTTCCTAACTCAAGCTCTCGGATGACTCGAACTCCTGGAAATGTAGCCATCAGCTGCTTACATTTCATTATAGACAGCTTTGCCAAACAAGGGAGGTGCTTCGGCAAAGCCCTCGACAACTTGGGGCAGTTATGCATGTAGAGCTCCCGCAGATGGGAGAAAGGTCTACTTTCATCTTCATCTGCAAAAGAAAACCATTCCTGCCACTCCAACATATCTTCAAACCTCAAAATTTCAAGTGCCCCAAAGGGCTTTCTCGTAGAAAACTTACTCCCATAGAACTCAGAACCCACAGTCACTACTGCTTCAAAGTTTGTTACTGTAAGTCCTTTGAGAGAAGGTAGCTGCCCAAGTGGTGGCAAGAAGATGCAACTTCTACAATTACCAAGGTGGAGAGTTTCTATGTTAGAGAATGAATGATCTCCTAACCAATCTGGAAATCTTGTTCCTCCATAGTAATTGATGGCTAGAATTTTCAAGTTTTTATGAGGCTGCAACTTGTCAAGTATTTCTCTTTCACATTTAGTATCATAAGTATGACCATCCCATTCCAAGTCTAACTTGACAAGGAGCTTTTTATCCCTCATACTAGCCTCTAAAGCATCTCTAGCACTGACAATATTTTCTAGCTGCAGAATGGAAAGTTCTCCTTGAAGATGTTGAAGGTCCTTTAGCATTCTATGCTAGATCCACCATCTTTGCTCACAACAAAAGCTGTCAGTACTCGAAGATCTTTCAGCTGACTCATTTGTGATGGCATCTTTGTTAAGTTAGTACCAGCAATATCAAGAATAAAGCAAATTTGTTAGTCTTCCCATGTTAGCTGGCAACTCAGCGAGAAAACTGCATTCTGCTAAGATAATGGTTTGCAAATTGTACAAAGTACATGTAGCCTCAGGTAACCTTCTTATTGCAGTGCAAGAGAGATCCAGATACCGCAAATGTTTCAAGTTCACAATTGAATTGGGCAACTCACTCATATTTTGATAGTGAGACAGCGAAAGCACCCGTAAATATTTCAGCTTTGGTAATAGTTCAAGTGGTACCTTAGAGGTTAAAGAGTGACCGTACCACGGCGCTAGCTTTAATGGTAGGAAAGTTCTTAGACACCTTGCCCTGTTAAAGGCCTCAAATCTTGTATAAGGATCACACCTTGCTCTGAAATATGATAGATGGCGAGTCGTGCCCTCAATTTTGTATGTGTTGTAGCCTTCCAACCTCAAACAAAACTCTCCTGCCACAAATTTAGCCAAGTCATTGACAAGATCATGCATCACATAACATGATTTATCACTTGTTGAAGATTGTTGAAGCAATGACCTTGAAACAAAATCATGAAAGTACTCATACCCTACTTCTTCCAACCTCTGATTGGTTCCAGGCTCAGGTAGAAAACCTTCTGCCATCCATAATAAGATCAATTGCTCTTTCTCAAATTCATAATCCTTGGGAAATAGAGAAAAATAAGCAAAACATGGCTTAAGGTGTGATGGCGGGTAATGGTAGCTTAACCATAGAGCTGGGAGAATGTCATTCTGATTAATTTGCAAATCCCACAATTCACTTTGCAAGATCTTATTCCACTCTGCAGCATCTGTTTTAGATCGCAGGAGACAACCCAGCACTTTTGCGGCTAAAGGTAGACCTTTGCACTTTCTTACAATCTCTCTGCCAATTACTTCTAATTCCAAAGATGCATGGGAACTAATTTGACCACCAAATGCATGCTTTGCGAAGAGCAGCCAGCAATGTTCATCCAATAACTCCTTTAAATGGTAGGTTGGAACAGTTTGCACAATCGACGCAACACTTTCATTGCGTGTTGTGACAATGATCTTGCTCCCTCTTGTCCCAAATCTAAAAGGCTTCTGTAAAACCTCCCACCCGATGTAGTTCTCATTCCAAACATCATCCAGAACAAGCAGAAACTTCTTACCAAAAAGACTCTCCTTTAGTCTAACTTGCAGCAGATTTAAATCTCTACTATCACTGGCGTGAGAAGTGAATGCCTCAAGAAATGTGTTTGTCACTCTGCATATATCCAATTCTTTGGAAACACAAATCCAAGCTCCAAGGTCAAAATGCTCCTTCACCATTTCATCATTGTATACTAGTTGAGCAAGAGTGGTCTTGCCAACTCCTCCCATACCTACCATGGCTGTCACACATATCCCATTGCTATTTAAGTCATCTGATAGCAATAGCTTCATTATTTCCTCTTTATCAGCATCCCTCCCATAAACTTCAGATTCATCTACTACAGAAGTTGTGGGCAATCTTATTGATGATTGCCTTCCAACACTGGTTCTTAAGCCTAGGACATCTTTTTGTTCTGCTATATATTCTAGCCTATCGATGATCTTTTCCAATTTTGATTCTATCTCTTTCTCAAATAGCCCAAGAGAAGTTGAGATCAACTGCTGTACCTGACTTGTGCTGCTCTTTGACTTTGCTTCAACTCTGCATTTGAGTGCTTCAGTAGCAATCTCATCCATCACATCTTCTGCATCATAAACTGCATCTTTAAGCTCATGAACCCACTTGTTCACTGTCAAACTGGTAATTTGCTTCTTCTCAGCATCATTGAGAACTGTATCAACAGAAAGCAAAAGCATCTTCAACTTCTTCAATAAGTCATCAGCGAGTTTTTTTCCCCGGATGAAGTCAATAACCTCACGGGAAGCCATCCTATCAAACAACACCTGGAGGAAAGCAGAAAGAAAAGCCCCACCCACAACCACATCCATCTCGTTTTCTTCTTAGTGGGGAAGGAAAATGAAATGAAACTTAGCTATGTTTTTTGCTGTTGATATTGGTAGATAGGTTTTCTTATTTTGATTCAGGGCATGAACACGTTTTGTATGTCATTCCGGAATCCGTTGACAAAACTTACGTACGTTGCTTTTAATCCTATAAAAATCAAAATAAAATACTTCAGTTCTGTTGAAAAAATTACATAGACTCAACAAATTCTTACAAGTGTCAGGTCAATCAATGGTAAACTATTCAGAATAGAAGCTGAGTACCCCCAAAAATAATCGTGACAGCAGATGGATAAGAAGAAATCTTAAACCGACAAGACAAATTTTAACATCATTCACCCTTTTGTTGTTCTCCTTTTTTTCTCTCTCCCTTTCATTTCCTGGCATAAATTAACAGGTCAGATAAAGGGCGACTGAGCAAGGATTTGACAGCTTCTTTACTTCTTTGCAATCATGAAATCAAATGGGTTGATTCATTTATACATTTTGGCAGTTGGCATCAGTATGTTGACTTGATACACAATTGAAGAAGATAAAAATGGAAAATAGCTTTGCCATACAATCATTTTACACAAGAGAATAAAGAATTTAAATAAAAGTAAGACCAAGTGAGAATCTCAAACTACAATATGAAACTGCAACATTGAGATTTTCACCATGAGTCGGTGGTTTCACAAAAAGGAATGGCTCATTACTGGGGTACATCCTGAGAGCTAGATGGCTGCCAAATTTGTACATAAAATAATAATCACCAAAGATGCCTTGTTTGAGGATGAAATCATGCAGAAACCATGAACTAAAGATGACAAAAGAACATGGTTGGGGCTTGAATGGAATTCTAGCATCACCACTAAGGCCAGACTAGGTCAACAGAGACCCTTAGCTCTTGCGGATCTTCCTTTACAATCTCTGACTCGTACATGCTGGCATCATTTCTCAACGGTTTCTTGGCAGCAAAAGACATCGACGCACCACGAGAAGCAGGAGGAGGTGGAGAAGAAAAGCAAGAGGAGGAGGGAGGTGGTGTTTCAAAAGCATAGTTTGGTTCATGGTGGCGAAGAAGTTCAGACAATAAAAGTACAAGAGAAGCCATGGAAAGAGAAAACCAAGATTTATCTTATCAATCAACTGATCCTTTTTCTCTGAAAGAAAACTGGATTGCTGAACCACTATTTATACTGGAAACATGAAAAGAAAACGGTTAGAGACTTGAAGTTACAATAGCTCATTGTTTCCGTCGCTAACTGTTTGGGTTGGCTGCATTTATTAAGACTACCTGGAAGAGGAAAAACCAGGGCCAGAGTCATGCAAGCCCCTTGATTTTCCGAGGGTGAAAATGATTCTGCTGGTTTTTGGTGCCTTTAATGTGCCTTTTTCAGGCTCTTGGATTTGCCGCCGTTGTGTTTTATGGCTTCAAAAGTAAGTCAGCTCTCGCTTTTCATGGTTCTTGCGTAGTTGTCCAGTTTGTATCCCACATGTTTCGTATACAAAACCATGGGTCGTGGCCAGTTGGCCTGCTGATGCTTGTAAATATGGCGGTTTGGCGGTCAACTACTTGGATATGTGTGGTGCCAATATTTTATATTTTAATTAAAAAACTTATGCTATTCACAACTTAAAGAGGACAAGTCATTGTTGTCGTTTTCTTCATTCCAATTTTATCAACTTCGGTTCAAGCTTTGCAATCTTGACTTTTTCTTTTACCAAAATATGAATGTGCATCGGTGGTCTATAGGAAACTGTACCTGGAAGAACCAAGTAAAGGTGAGTCGTAAACAAGACTGATCGGATAAAAAGTAGGCTGTGGACTTGGGATTGAATCCATTTGCATTAAAATTTGAATGCATAGTTATGTTCAAAGCATCCTTTTGACTACAAAGATGTTTCAGTCTCCAACTAAGCAAATTGTTGTCACTATTTCAGTAAATAAACTCTGGTATGAAATGTTAATAATTAAAACGACTTTTCTTTGAAAGAAAAAAGAAAGAAGGTCTAAATAGAACAACATGATCATTCTTGGAGTAAAATCCTAAGAATATGATAGAAACAAAAGGTACAAAGCTCAATGTTTTCTTTTATCATCCTTTTGGTCAACTCCAATGAAGTTGCGTTTCTTGGTTGTGTTCATGTAAGGTCTAATAACCCATTCGATCTGAGCCTCACTCTGGTCCATTGTTCCTAATTTTATCTGCAACACACGTGAAGCAAAAAGAAACAAATAATAGTTAATAGAATTTGCACTTCAATATAGAGCTCCTCCAACTAGTTGTTTATTGAAATGGCATGATAGCTACCTGATAAAGCCGCAACTCGAACCTAGGACCAATCTCCTTCAGCTCAACTGATTTAGGACCTCCATGCTTCTCATAAATGTGATGCCTGTATGTTGATATGCTATCAATCAGTGAGAGTGAACTTTTGACAACATTGAAACTTGAGACAAAGCAACCTAAAGGGTGTGTATCTACATTTAAAACACTAATTTATATGTAAGTAGAATGAGATCCAGTTGCATTTAACGACTAAGCTTCACTTAAGCAGTCCCTAGTCCAATGAAGTGGATTGTCATCAGTGGATGGCCACTGAAAAAGACCATGATATCAAAGAACCCACGATCGACAAGTTGACTCCTTCCAACCTTTTAACCAGGAATTGACCATAAGTTCTCAAGTCTCAGCTATGCATGACAAAATTCAGGGGTTCCTTACTTTACATCCAACATTGACATAAAGTACTCCCCTTCAATGCCAAAGAATCCATCAAAATCTATAGAAGAGAACCAACCTGAATGAAATATAGTCAGACTGATTAGCAAAAGTCACAATACGTTTTGTATCAGGCTTCGGGACAGGGAACAGATGTTTTAGAATGTTTGCTGTCCTGTCACCCAGCTGCCAAAATAAATAAAAAAAGACTGTCAGCAACGTAAAAGATAACTCCTGTAAAAGGATTATTATTAAACACTAAAATGGGGAAACATACAACACATACATGAAACTCCTTTAAGGAAATTTCAGTAAACAGTCTTTACTATGCCATCTATTAGACATACAAGGCATTTATGTAAAACCATGAAAAGCACAACTTCATAAAATGTTTCAAGTATGCACATATATAAATTGGAACTAGCTGCATTGTATGCTTCAAAAAAATATACCATTAAAAAGCAATAAGAATACCTTGGTTCCAAAATTGTCAAGAATCAAATGTGGATAGGCCTCAGGCATTTTTCCAATGGCTTTCTTGTCCTTAATGTCATGTCTTGTAACCTAAAGGAAAACATCAGATTAAGAAGACAAGCATGGAGAACAAGGATAAAATAAAGGTCTGTGCAGACTAGAGGACTCATCAAATACTTGCCACATTGAGTAATCCAAAGTATGCTGTGGGACCAAAAGGAAGATGACTTATGATCAAACCATCTGGCACACCACGATGTTCATGAACCAAAATAACATCTGTAAAATCGTGTGCCCTGCAACTTTCAATAATTTCAGATATAACCTGCAAACAAGGAAAAAGGACTCAAAAATTAATTTCTAGCGTTCGCTAGAAAACCAGTTTGACGCCAAATGAATCATTTAAGAAATAAGGATGTCAGCGTTCATTATAATGATCATAACTAGCAGAACCGAGGAAACAGACCTAGCAGATGGCATCTTATTAGCCATTTAGGAGAGCTCACATGCATCAGAACAATAAGACAACTAATAGCGACTTAAGTAAGATTGCATAAGGGCAAACAATGGACCGACCTGGTTACCACGATTCATTCGCTCTGCATTAGGAAAGACAAACTTCAATTCCTGCAAGCAACATGCCGTATGAATTAGAATTGGTGATCAAATTGACATGCATAATATTGGGGTAAAAAGAATGTTATTTATCACCAAAATGGACAAACCAACCTTGACAAACTGTACAAGAGGAGCACTTGGATCCCGAGACGTCGTCAGCAATATCTTAGGATCTCGTTCCGTTGCATTTGCATACTCATCATCAATATGACTTTTGGGAACTAAACAAAGCAGTAATTTAAGCAGTCACACATATATTAGCACCAATTCCCAATAATGCAAAACAAATAAAAATGTTTTCTTAGACTCAGAACATAACCAAAAAAACCAAATTCCAACAAAATAAAAAACAAACATACTGGCAGTGTAGTCATCTTCAAGGTCAATTTCTTGGCGAAGCGAGGCCTCCTCATTCCGAAGCTCAGTTGGAATTGGTTTTCCCTCTACACCCAAATAGAATCAATAACAAAAAAAAATTGAAATTGATATTAAATGATCATAAAAAAGGAAGATTTGATAGTACCGTCAAGGGCTTCTCTGATCTTCCGTTTCTTCTCATAAAGCAACCGTTCTTTGCCTTCCAAGCTCTTCCTGTACAAATACTCTCTTCTCAATCGTATGTTTCTTCTCAACATCTTTAGCTAATTTAATTTCTAAGATAGTAAAAATAGCAACCACCACCCAGATTTTGCAGGGGTTTTCCTTTTCTAGGGTTTAAGGTTTAGGAAGATTGTTGAGGAACAGAAGTACACAAAAACGACGACGTCTGGTGCTTGTGTCTGCATTTTGGGCTGAGCCATGTTTATTGAGCTAAATGTGGGCCAAGAGAGATCCAACATTGACACTAACCCGACGTCGTTTTAAGAGAAAAACACACATTGCAAAACCCTTCTGTTTTTTCCTTCCTTCGACACTCGACAGCCGCGAAGCAGCAAGAAAGAAGAGAAGCACAGGAAAAAAGAGATGGGAAAGAAAGCAAAGACATCAAGGAAGGGGAAAAAAGCATGGAGAGTCAACATAAGCACGGAAGACATAGATGATTACTTTGAGAAATCCACGAAGGATGCTCTGTCTGGGGGTTCTCTTACTTCTGCTCCTACTGAATCTCTCTTCTTCATCGACAAATCCAAAGGTCTTCTTTTGCACCGCCACTTCCTTGTATCTCTCTTGTTTTTTAATCTGAAATTGGTTTTCTGGAGTGCGGTTTTCGTCTCTTTTAAAATTTTGATATGCTTTTACCAGATCTTTCTGTGAAGAGGAAGATCGAGAAAAAAAGAGAAAGGGTGTTGCGAGTCGATAGTGTGTTGCAGAAGAACCCTTTTGTTCAAGCGGTGCCATCTTCAAAGCAGAAGGATTCTAAGAAGAAAAAGAAGGAGGCTTTGAAAGCTAAAGATGTTGTACTTCAAGATGTTACCAGGGTGAGAAGCTGTTGAAGTGAAGCTAAAGTTTGTTAATTTGTTAGTTAAAAGGGACTGCTTTTTGTTTTAACTTGATTTTCATTTGTTTTGGTATAGGATAATTCTGCCCCTGATTCCAGCATGGTTCCCATATGGGGAAATGAAGGTATTATAAGTTTAATGTGTTGATTTTTCTTTTTCATGGGGCTTTTACAGTTGGATTACATATGAAATGTGATTTTCTGTATGCTCTTTCAGGTCAACATAGTGGCAAAGTTAGACAGGTGTCCAAACATTCGATTATTCCTGCTGTAGAAGTTGAGCCTCCAGGGTGTTCATACAATCCCTCATTTGAAAGTCATCAGGTGAATTTTGAAACCCATAATTGTGTATATTGTCTGTTTCATTCTTTACTCTACTCTTTATGAGGTGACATGTTGTACTTTTCTTTATTCTCAATCCAGGATTCTCTGGCAGAGGCTGTTGCAGAAGAAATGCAAAAAGCCTACAAGATTGAGTTGGGACCTCAACCAGTTCCATTAACTGTTGTGGGAGAAGTGATTGATGAAGACGATGTGAGTTTCTATTGTTCTATTCATCTGTAATTTATTCTTCTTACTTGCAACATTTGACACAAATAAATGATGGTTATGAATTCTTATTACGTTTAGTTTAAACTTCATTAGTAGAAACATTGACAAAACCATCTATTTTTTTGTTAGAAATACTTTATTGAGGCAGATGATGGAACTGATGAGGAAATGAATGAGGAGAATTTGAGTGAGAATAAGGATCCTGCAACTGAGAAAAGGTTAGATAACTTTAATGTACTGTTGCTTTCCAAAGAAAAAAAAAACTTTAATATGTTGTCCATTGCCATTATTGAATTGCTTATCTATTTGTTGTATTATTTTGCCTTCCGGGGAAAATATTTGGTTTTTGAGGGTTATGTGGGGAACTGGTAAATTTGAATGTACTGCGTGTAGAAAAATTGAACTTGAATCTGTAGGTTCATAATTAAGTTTGGATATGTTCTTTTGTTTTATAATGAGAACCAAAATGCTATAGCCTCAAACCAGCTTTTCTGTATGTGGATGGCCAACTTCTATGGAATGAAACTTCATTTTTTTTCTGTTATCATGAACTCTTTATCTATTTGTTAATTCTGCTTCTATCATGCTGCAGGCCTTCCAAAACAAAGAGGGTGACTCGAGTTGAGTTGAATAAGAGAGCTAGAAGGAAAGTACTGCTAAGAAAAGAAGCAGAAGCTAAAAAGGCAGAGGAATTTTCCAAAGACATTGACAGGTATATTTAACATTGTTCTCTACTATCTTTTATTTTATTAACGAGTATATTCTTATTATCTGTTGGTCCTTCTGGATGTAGCTTGCCAGATATATTACAAGAAATAGCCAAAGAGGATGAGGAGAAGCAAAAGAAACAACTTCGAAAGGTCATAGCTAAGCAAGAAAGACTAAAGGCTTGCCCACCACGCTTGGGAAAATACAAGTATGCAAGCGCTTTAAGAAGTTGTTCTCGTTGTCATCTATTTTCCAATTGATTATGGGCATAATTAATAGTATATGTTTAGATTCTTATCTTAATGGCAATGACCAAATTTCACAATTTATGTGTGTATCTAAAATAAAATTTTTATAATGTCTTGGAAATATATGCCATCTTAATGTTCTGTTTCACTTCTTGCATTGAGTGATCTGACAGATGATGCTATACTTGCAAACATTTAAAGGAATTAGAAGTAGACATCTGATTGATCTGAATTTTTCATAATTTCAGATTCCAGTCTGCTCCTTCTCAAGTCCTGTTATCTGAAGAACTTACTGGATCTCTCCGTAAGCTTAAGGTTCATATTTTTCAATATCCTATTTAATTTTAAAATTTACTTTTAGATAATAGTATAAAGTAACTGTCTCCCTGTTATTTTGGATATTGTGTGAAGGGTTGTTCTACACTTGCAAGAGATAGATTTAAAAGCTTAGAAAAGAGAGGCCTGATTCCCCCATCAGCGAAGAGTGGAAGGTCAGTTGAATTTGATGATCTTTAGTTTGTGGTCAACCGAGACATGAAACCAATGTGTCATGGTTTTTATTTGAAGCTCTTTTACACTGTTTTCTCAACTGCTCATAAATTTATCATTTCCCTTGATAGTGTCAACCCTTTTTTTGCAAATATCCGGGCATGGTGATCATGTTCAACTGCACCATTAATAATGACTTGTTTTGCCTGTGGACAGGAAATAGAGAGGTTTTACGTCCAAGGGTCGTGACAGTTCAATTAATTTGGTCAGGGAAATCCGAAGAGTTCTCACCTGATGCCCTTAAAGTTTGAACAAAATGCCATTAAAGGGGACCAAGCCAGACCCGTCTGCAATCTCGGATTGCTTTCCCATGTTTCATGATAGTTAAATTCACACATGGTTGTTTTGTGACCAAAGAAAGTCTTATGTGATGTAATAAACCTGGAGGATAATTTGATGATGAATCTAAAGTCAGATTTTTGACACACGACTGTCATGTTTATGCTGATTTCTGTTAGTTTGAATGAGCTAAATTGTCAGAAAAGGATATTTTTGGATTCCATGTCTCTGGTGAAATCCACCATCTCTGGTGTTTAGCTTGGTCTCCGCTTCCTAAGAAAACTCCATGACCCGATTCTTATTCGTTTCGTTCCTTTGAATGCCCAAAGAGCTGGCAAAACATTCAAAAACCATCCAATCAGGATTAAGCGTAATTGCCCAAAAAAGAAAAAGAAGAAGCTTAATAAGACCAGGGTGAAATCCATCCCAAAGCCTCCTTTAGCATGTTAACAAAATGCTTCCCTCCCCAGCTCTCTTTCCCCAATAGGAAAAAAGGACAGTTATAAGGCCAAAACACTGCATAGTTTTTAAGAAGCAACGTGTCATCTTTCATTGAAAGCAACGCACTTTCACACTGTGAAACGGTGGAACACCTGATCATTGCTCTCGAACACCGAACATCCCAACAAAAGAAAGTACGCGACTTTCAGTTTGAGGCTTCAACAGTTGAGTTCGAAAGATGCGCGCCTTAGCAGCTCGGCTCAACACTGTAAACTGCTCGATTTCGTGATCCCTTTTTTGTTCGGTTTCCAAGTCCAATTTTCATTTTCACCCTTTTTTTTTTATTTCTTTTGCTCTGTAGTTCTTGTTCAAAAGAAAGCCTTGGAATGTGCAGTCTCGAAATTTCTCATCATATAATGCAAAAGGTTGCTCTTTTCTCTTCATATCTTTTGAAAAGGTTTTGCTTCCAATGCTTGGTCAATTAAACACTTTAATTCTTCTGGCTGCAGATGAGGCCTATCTTGAACAGGAAGCTGAGAGGAAGATAGGATGGTTGCTGAAACTGATCTTTGCTGGCACTGCAAGTTTTGTTGCTTATCAATTCTTTCCCTACATGGGTAACTTCTTTTATTTTTGAAACAAATCTTATGTTTTTCAAAGTTGCTGCTTTACTGGGTATGAAGCCTACATCGGATCTCATTTCTGGTTTATGAATGAATCATTCTTTCTGGTATTAACCTTTTGTGGGCTTTTTTGGATATGTAAAATTTGGTTTATGAAACAATATATGTTATGAAATAAACTGCCTGCTGTGATTATTTGTTTGACAAATAGAAAATGCTTAGACTTTTGCTTCTACAGGAGATAATTTGATGCACCAATCTGTGTCACTTTTGCATGTTAAGGATCCCTTGTTTAAGAGAATGGGAGCATCTAGATTAGCCCGTTTCGCAATTGATGGTATATATTTTTCCCCTCATTAATTTTGTGACAAGTTTGGCATATGTATATTCTATTTTTTTAATGTGAGTTATGCCCTTAAAATTTCATGCTTTAAGCCTAAACATCGAAGCAGTTATCAAATGAAAGTTATTCTTCCTCTTATTTGGTATGCTAGCTGATCTTATTTCTTTTCTTGAATGAAACATGTTTGTTAAATGGTGTCTGATGAAACCAATCTAGGATGAGATTTGGAGGGAATACTAGTGGTTTGGAGAGCATGAAGATTCCATGCATAATCAGATGCTTGTTTTGCTGAGTTATTGACTTATCATGGCTTTCTGTTAGATGTTACTTTAATATTTTCCTCCTCAAGTCTTATCTTGTTCTATCACATTGAGTTTCTGTTGTTTTGATGGGATTGTAGTTTTTGCTGTGTTTTCGCTGTCCTGGTGGTAGTGCACCTATCTGGCTTTAGCTGATATGCTTGTAACTGCCTGTGAAAGATTGAAACCTTACCGCTTTTCTTGCAGATAAAACTTTTAGCAATCAGTAATTTAGAGATTTACATAAGTAATTGTGATGAAAGTTTGCAGTTCCCATTTTACTCCTATGTTAAAGTGGAACCTACCTTCAAAATTACAGTAGTTGGAAGTAATCCTATAATTTTTCTTATTAACTCTAAATTAGAGTAGTTAATGTTAATGGTGCATGACCCTGCAGCAAGGCTGCTAAGTAAAGATGGTTTGCTGGCATCATTAATACCATTAACTCTCTGCTTCCATTTTTGATAATAGATGAAAGAAGGATGAAAATAGTGGAGATTGGTGGGGCTCGAGAGCTCTTAAATATGCTGGGATCTGCCAAAGATGAACGTACACAGAAAGAGGCTCTGAAGGCTCTTAGTGCACTGTCAAAGTCAGGTAAAAGTATATCTGCATTGTTTTACTCATGAATACTATACTGGTTCTATTCTAAACGTATTTTCGTTTGAAGCATGTTTGCAAGCATCAAATCTATTTATTAGCAAAGCTCAAGTAGAACTGCCTATTTGTTGTGGCTTGTCCTATTAATAATATTAGAAATGCAAGATGCTTGAGGTGATGTAAAGAAACTTGATGAGGTCGTTGGCCCTTTACTACATCATAAAAGTACAATGTGAGTAACATAAAAGGGAGAAAGACAGAAAAAAGCTTGTAATTGAGAAAATGTATATGATTTATGTGTATGCAAAACTTGTTCTATGACTGATGGTCAATCATTAATAATTTGTCTATGTTGAATTTTACTTTCTGTTGTTGCAGATCAAGCAGTTGGAGCTTTACACCATGCAGGGGCAATCTCAGTTATAAAGTCTACCCCAGACACCTTTGAAGATACCGAAATTGGGATATATAAATCAAACTTACTGAAGAGATTTCAAGATCTGAGATACGATATTTCGTCTTGAGAGAAGTTGTAACTCTATGAATTTGGGGTTGAAGAACAGTTAGATTGAATTCATAGGAGCAAATGAAAATTTAAGTGTATCCTTTTGCTGATTGTAGAGTTGAAAAATTCACACTTTGTGCATTTGGCTTTGTTCCCCATGTGCCAGTTTTCACATTTACTTCACTGTAGACTGTGTAGTGTGGTCTTTTTCTCTTAATCCCAGCATCCAGTGGATTAACCTAAGGAAATAAAGAATTTTTTTCCTGCCTTACAAACTGGGTTCGTTACCTTAATTACTTGCCATGTGGTTGATCACCTGTTCTGGTCCTGCATTTGCCCGTGAGTGCCATTTTTCATGTAAATATGGAATTTGATCACCTGGAGCAAGTGAACACTTTGTTTTTTCTTCTTCTTCCGGTATGATTGAAGCTGTAACCTTCTTACTTAGAATACAGTTAATTTATCTCCCTTTGTCCAATCAATCAATCACTCATAAGAACTCTCGACTCTGACCAGGCAATATCTTTATGACCAGTGCTGTGTAACTTGCAGGACTAGATTATTCTGGTAAGACTAACAATGATCTTAAATATAAGATGAGAATTCATTAGGACATATTCAAGTATAAAGAGCTGGTTGTAGTACATTAAGGTTTGACTATCTGTGCTAATATAATTAAACTAACTAGAATTATTGTATCCTTCTGTCTGACCTTGGCACTGAGGTTGACTTAAAAAGTAGTTTTATGAATTGTCTGACCTTGCCAAGGAGCTCTCTTTCCGGGAAATGTTGCAAGAGCCCTAGTTTTTATTTTATGATACATATATTAGCCTGTAAAAGGGAGTTATCAAAGACATCAAGCTTGCTGAAATAAAAGTGATCATTATCATCTGATATTGTACAGAAATCAAGCTTTTAATTCCTGTTTTCCAGAAGGCATTAATGACAGCTTCCCAAATGGTATATGGGGTTCCTATGATCAGTTTTGCAGGGGATGGATTCTGTGTGCCTTACTCTGTGGAGTTCATTCTCGAGAAGAAGCAACATGGTTTCTCTGATGTACACTATGAAGTATCAGATGTCAATAAAAAAGTTTTCCTCCAATCAGACGGCTCCTACATGACCCTTTACAGGAAAAGGGTCATGCGCAACTCTACTGGCTTTCCTATCCTCACAATTCGTGAAAAGGTATAAGTTCTCTCTTCCTCTATCTGATATAAAAGAATGACTCTACTCTATAACTCTCTTTAGTCTCTTGTGCTGCTGTGTGTATGTGTGTCTTTTCACTTACTGCATTAATGAATGATTGATCAGACTATTAAAGAACACATGAAACCTGTGAACATCAATATTTAGGTGAAACTACTTTGATTTCTGTCTTTTCTCTCTTATCCATTCCGAAACTTGACAAGGCGATCGCTGGTCAAAAATGGTTAGTTCACGGAGGTGAAAGTTTAGAGAGAAGTCAACCTTTTTGCACTGTGCAGCGATCATGCTTTCCCCCAACGAAAACAAAGCTTGATGTGTTCTTAGCAGGCAAAATCGATGAAGATATCAGTAAGTTCCAGGTTGTCGGTTCTAATCACCCATCCCAGTCTTATGGAGTTTATAAAGGAGATACCATTATTGCAGCAGTAAGAGGCCTTATTTTCCTTCTGCTCCTGTTCTACGAATTAAACAGAAACTTAAAAAAGATTTGAAAAGCCGAATACCAAATTCAGTTATTGGTAATAGTATGTTTATACAGGTTATTTTCTAGCACTTCTATCTGTATAGGTGAATCACAACTCAACAAGGGGAAGCTTCTGTCAGGGTAGAAAAGAGAACTTCGGGGTCAAAGTTCATTCAGGAGTGGATTATGCATTCATTCTAGCATTGATCATTACCCTTTTGGAGTGAGAGTGACTTGATGTTATCATTTCTTTAAGCAGTTTCTGCTATCTTTGAAGCAGTATCAGATTTGTTTCCATTACTTAATTTACTTTTGATCGGATCAGTCTTGGGTTTGAATTATTTTGTGTTCGGATCATTTTGAATTCAGGTATCTCCGAATTCAGGTCTTTTGAGTTCTTGATCATTTCAGGTCTGGTTGGTTTTGAATTCAGATTCTTTGGGCAGGTTTTTGTGCTCGGGTTCATTTTACCACCTCTAAGCAAGGGCGTAAATTCATAAAACATAATATTCAGCATGAGCTTAAATGAATAAAAACATAATGCTCACTTCGTTCTTTGACTCAATTGTAAAGTGTATATATCTCCTGCTCAGAGTTTTGAGCTAACCCCAAAAATCATATCTTGTCACGAAAATTAAAGCATAGATAAATCCATATAACATAGAGCAGTCCTCCACTATACATGAGCTACAGACATGTGACGCAAAAGAGCAAGAGGTTTGCTTGCAGGGACCCAATAGTTGATCAAAAGCTATATGCAAAAGAGATGCATTAGATGATTAGGTAGTTCATCAACTGCTGCATTAGATAACAGGGGAAAAAGGGCTATCAGACTTGAACATGCCTTAGGGAATGGAACATTGCCTGAGAAAAAAGAAAGAACAGGATTTGTTTATCAACATGTGATATGTTTATTGCTGACACAATGAGGGAGAAGAAACAATTGCTGGTTTGAAAGGGACTTGATTTGAAGCCGCTATATTCTAATCAATGAAACAAAAGAGAAAAGAAAGGATTACACTAGAATACAAGCACCTCCACAAAGGATCAGGAAGTCAGGACCTGTTTCAGGTGAAAAAGCTGTATATGTTGGTGGAAATGGCTACAATACTTGTTACAGCAGCCAAAATGATCATTACTGCAGACATAATCCTATCTCTTGATGTTGATATGCCATGAACATCCCTGTAATTGAAAAGGAAAAAGAAAGACTATTTAGCTGGAATGTCTTTAAGCTATAGACAAGATGCATCCAAGTTATTTCCAACAGTGAGGATACCTAAGGGCAATAGCACCGGGGAAGATGAAGGCAAGGCTGACTGCAGAGGTTGATCCCATGAATTGAAAGAAGTACCATATGTTAGGGATGGTTATTGCTGCCAAGTAACAGATGGCTAGCAGGATAAGAGTGAGGGACATAAATCTTGTGTTATCTTTTGCCAGAAGAGGCCTATTTGGGAAAAGGAATTCATCAATGTTTGCCCTTAATGAGAAGTTTAAGAGAGGAAACACCAATATGAGGTGAAGGGCATAGCTTAAGCGAACAATGTCATTGAGCACAGAACCAAGTGCTGAACCAGAGTTTTGGTCAAAATTAACAAGTATATCAGGCATTATTGAATCGCCAAAAAGAAGGTATCCAAAGATCCCAACTGTGTAGTAGATCGCCCCACAAAGTATCAGTGAGATACGGACTGCAGACATCATATCAGAAGGTTTGTCCATCTCAAAACCTATTGGATGAACTGCATTCATTCGCGAAACACAATTATGAGAATGTTTGGGACAAGAGCTACTTACTTTAGCTAATGTGTCATGAATGAACATCATGGAACCATGCACTTATAGGAATGCCACAGCGCCCTTACCATTGAAATGAAATGTGAAAGCCGTTACAATGACTGGGACAGCAGTAAAGAGATCAAAAAAGGAGGTTTTGTTGACCAAGTGAGGCAGCAGTCTTGGGCTCTCTGTTTTCCCTTGGAAGAGTGCAGAAATTGCCATCACCGAACTGATGGCAACAAACAGCACAGCAAGAAAAACTGCTATTGCTGAGCTGAACCTTAATGATTCTGCACATTCAGGCCAATTTGACAGAGAAGATTCTTCAGATCATGCATGATATCATAACTTAAACAGTTACTCGGTTCTCTATATATTGTTAAAAATCGTATACCTATGGATTATCAAAGTTAAAGTAAACCTTATACTTGATCATGACTGGAACTAATTAACAAGAAAAACAATAACACAAATAAGTTTCAGGTTTTATCTTTTTATGCTTTATTTTGCTGTTGAGAAAAATATAGAAACAAGGAATGTCTTTGGAGAAACTGACCTACACGCCTAAACAAAACCAATGGAAGCATAATGACAACAACAATGAGGAGGAGTGCAAAAGGTCGGGTATTCCACCAGTGAATGCCAAACCATTCTTGTAAAACGCCCAAGTGCATTGATCCTACAGGTTGATTTCCTGAAAGAACATCGCCTGAAAGACAGTTCTTAAAGATCAGAACATCTACAATGACAGCCAACATATCACAGAAAGCATGAAGTCTCCATCTTAAGCTTTGAGAAATCACTATCTAAATTCAGGAAATTCCAGATTTTGTAGTTGAATGCCCTTCAGTCAAGGTAAATCCTAGCTATCATGTTTAAGTTTCAACAATCCATATCAGGAATTTGGTCTGCCAGTTAAGGTAAAGGAAGTGAAAAATTCTTTGGTGACTTGAACCATTCAAATAGTTATTGGCAATTATCCATAACCTGCAGACCTAGCTTGGACCATTCAAATAGCTTATTAAACTTATCCAGAATCTCTAGAGCTTATTAGCTGCAAAATCTGATGGTTGTGCAATGATGCAAAAGAATTCTACAGGCTAAAACAATCCATCCCCAGAATTCACAGCTATTCCTCAATAAAATTAGCTTAAGCTCACACATGCTTCGACACCATGAACCATCCATTTTCTGCCTACAAAAACATAATTTATTGCTGAAGTTCTCTCAAACTGAACTTACCTATAATAATCAAATAAATGATCAAGCAACCAAGATTATTCATCATAACACATATTTGCACCAGGACCGATCCCACCCGCCCAAACGACTCCTTCATGACACCAGCATAAGTGGTTGAATTCCCAGCATGTGTATATCTCATCAGGAATTCAACCGAGACATCTGCAAGCCAAGCTATAACCACTATCATAAAAAATGCTGGGACTACACCTAGTACCTTGAGAGTTGCCGGAATTGACATAATTCCAGCACCAATAATGCTAGTGGACACATTGAACACAGCACCGGATACCGATGTATGCTTTGCTGGTGACCTGTTCTCCTGAAGCAGTGGTGAATTTACTCCTGTAATGGCTGAAGACATATCCGATGATGGGTTTTCCCGGCTAGAGGAATTATTAGAGTTTGTAGTCTTGTTGTGCATAACTACACATTTAATGGGAGAAGAGCTTAGATGGTAGGGCAGTGTAATGACCAAACTGTCATGAGAAGAAAGGACATTTGATTTGACATAGGATAATGCAATGAACGGTAAAATGGAATTAGATTTAAGATGAGCGGGAATCATAGATGACTAGAGGACAGGTCGGCTGTGGGGTTATGTTGCCTTGTCCTATTCGATGAATATGTGGCGAACGCATTTCAAGCTAGCTCGAGATTGAAATTTCTTCTGACTAAAGTGGGAAAGAGGTCTTTCTGTCTCGCATGGGACAAAACTAGTAAAGTATTTAGAGGTTATACAAAGAATTTTGCCCCTGCATGAGTAAAACGAGAGAATTTTTTATATTTTCATCAGCAAAGATCCCATCTAATAATTTGTTCCATTCTGATAGTCATCATTTAAATCTCCAAATTGTTCATGGTAGTGATTAACATAATTCAAGTTCATTTTCTCCTTTTTGTTTTAATGAAAAGAATTCGAAGCCACCTTGGCCCGACAGCTGCAGTTATGTATGAACTAAAATTGGTGCAGCAAAGTGTTATGATATGAATATGGAGTTAGATGAGTATCAATGATCTAAGACAAATCATACATGTATTAATTTTGTATACCCTTTTTTGCTAGCTGAACCTGCTTTTTTCTCAACTTGGAAGAAGATAATATTGTTTATTCAATGAAATAAATAATTTAGAGCAACAAGAATTTGCCTAATAAGTATAAAGATACACAAGGATGGCAGCAAACCGAAAAACAAAGACTTTGGCTGGAAAAAGATGTGTAGGCATCATGATCTTATCAAAGATGTTGATGATTTTGTTTACAGGTTCCAAATCAAAGCAGGAAAAGATTACGGTATTTGCTGGCCAAGTACTATATCTACAGAAAAGATAATCAGCTTCTCTGACCTTTACATGCCTTTGAATTTGGAACACTGATGATTAAACCAACATCTAAGGAAATTGTCTGATCAGCCACTGATATAGCCATAACCTTAGCTTTTCTTGTCCATAATATATTCATGGTTATCCTTACATTTTTGTTTAATTTGTCATCATCAATCTTCCCATAAGTAATATGTTTTATGTTACTTGAAAGACTAGATCATTCTGATATACTGTTAATTACTTTAACAACTATCATGCAAACACCCTTAAGCACATGCTTAATTATTAATTAATCAGATAATGAATGTAAGACTTGACCATCAGTGCAAATATAAACATAGTTAATTGTTTTCCATCCTGACCATGGCACTAATCTAGATTCAAACAATAGTTTATACTTGACAAGGTAAAAGTAACTTGTCTGACCATGCAACCGTGTTTCTTTGATGCTTGTTGATTCCAGGAGCTTGTCCTTCCAGGAAATGTTGCAAGACTGTACTTATATTTAAGGCACACACCAAACTGCAAACAATAAAGACATCAAGATTTCTAACATAAAACAAACTACCATACTTAATCAGAATTCAAATTATATTGTGAACTTTTGATATACAAAGCAGTCGTTCAAATTCCAATGGCAACTCCTGAGATGGCATATGGGGTTCCAATGATTAGTGTTGTCGCAGGTGGATTATGTGTGCCTTATCCACTGGAGTTAGCTGTCAAGAAGAAGCATCGTGGCCTCTTTGATGTGCACTATGAAGTGTTAGATGTCAATGGAAATTTGTTCCTCCAATTTGATGGCTCCTACAAGGCACTCCATAGGAGATGGAGCATGCGTGATCCTGCTGGTTTTCTTATCCTCATAATGCGAGAAAAGGTACGAGTGTTCTCCTCCTCCCTGAAGAATAAACCGAAGAGACAAGAATCCTAACTTAGTTCTATATACAGGTAAAACGTGACCTGGTGTGAGGGTGTAACTTCTATTTCTTTTCTTATTCTTATGATGTTTTATAAGGCAATCATCCGTCAACAATGGAGTGTTCATAGAGGTGAAAGTTCACACAAAATTCAGCTTCTCTTAAATGTGCGGGCGATCACACTCTATCCATATGAAAACAAGGCTTGATGTGTTCTTGCCAAGTAACATCAATGAAGATATCAGTAATTTCCAGGTTTACAAAGGGGATACTGTTATTGCTGAGGTAAATTGTCTAACAGTTCCATCCTGTTTTTCATTTTTCTTTCCAAAAAGTCCAAACAGTAAAATTAATCCAGGGTATTAATATATTTGCACAGGCGAATTAGAACTTATCATGGAAAAGCTACTGCAAGGGTACAAAAGAGGATTTCAGGGTTAAAGTTTATCCTGGCGTGGAATATGGCTTCATTGTTGCATCCGTTATGATCCTTGTGGAGAGTAACATGATGTTATGCGCTATCTGAAGTTTCTTCTTTCTTTTCTACCAAAATTCCTGGTTGTTATTTTACTTTGTCCAATATGTTGTGCTTGTTAATGCGGACCTTATTATATATAATTGCATTGTATTTTAAGTTAATCTCTTAATTTAAGATATTATCGTACATTTATGGAAACATCTTCCCTCCCTTTAATCCTTTTTATCAAAGATCAAAAGTAACAAGTCTTAATAACTGAATCTTCCCCTGAACTTTCAATATAAAAGGCTATACACTGCAGCTAATTGATACTTATCTGTCAAAACAAATCCAAAACAATATCTGTATCAGAAAGCAAAAGACTGAACTCTAGCAAGACTGATTTCACTGCGATTCTTATCTGAAATTCATTCATCAACAAATAAATATAATGTAATTGACTGTTTTGGGGACACTAAGAGTTTAAGCTGCTCAATTTTTAATGAAACAAACACAAACAAATGACACATTACAATACAAGTACCTCTGCCAAAAAAGAATCAGGAAAGAAGTCATGACTCATTTTCTGCAAAAAAGCTGTATATGTTGGTAGAAATGGCGATTGTGCTTGTTGTTACAGCCAGAATTATCATGACTGCTGCCAAAATCCTATCCCTCGTCGTTGATATGCCACAAGCATCCCTGTAAAGGAAAAGAAATAAAAACCAGACTATGAAGAGGACTGTCTGTGTAACTATAGAGTGGATGCATTGAATTGCTCAGATAGCAAGAATACCTGAGAGCAATAGCGCCAGGGAAGATGAAGGCGAGGCAGATTACAGAGGTTGATCCCACGAATTGGAAGAAGTACCATATGTTAGGGATGGCTATCGCTGCCGAGTAACAAAAGGCTAGTAGGACAAGAGTGAGGGACATAAATCTGGTGTTATCTTTTGCCAGAAGAGTTTTATTTGGAAAAAGGAATTCATCAATGTTGGACCTCAACGAGAAGTTCAAGAGGGGAAACACCAGCATGAGGTGAAATGCATAGCTCAATCGAACTATGTCATTGAGTAAATAGCCGACTGCTGAACCAGAATTTTGATCAAAATTGACAAGTATATCCGGCATGATTGAATCACCAAATAGAAGGTATCCAAAGACCCCTATGGTGAAGTATATGGCAGCACATAGAACCAATGAAATTCGGACTGCTGATATCATATCAGAAGGTTTGCCCATCTCAAAGCCAATTGGATGAACTGCAAACATTCATTAAAAGAATGAATGAGAATGTTTGGAGCAAGAATTGACTTAGTTTTTAGCAAATGTGTCACAATATTAACTCCCACACAAGTATACAACTACTTATAAGAAGGCCAAAGTGCTCTCACCATTGAAATGGAATGTGAAAGCTGTTACAATTACTGGGACAGCAGTGAAGAGGTCAAAGAAGGAAGTTTTGTTGTCCAATTCGGGCAGCAGTCTCGGACTCTTCGTTTTCCCTTCCAAGAGTGCCAAAATTGCCATCACTGAACTAATGGCAACAAACAGCACAGCAAGAAAAACTGATATTGCAGAACTGTACCTCAATGATTCTGCAAATTAAGTCCAATTTGTCAAGGTATGCTTTATTTGGCTGCTAGAAAGAGTACAAGAGATGATATGTCTTTTGGAGCATACTGACCTACGCGCCTGAACAAAACCAATGGAAGCAGAATGAAGACAAGGGTGAAGAGGAGAGCGAAAGCACGCGAGTTCCACCAGTGAATGCCAAACCATTGTTGCAAAACACCCAAGTGAACTGATCCTTCTGGTTGGTTTCCCGACAGAACATCCCCTGAGAGAAAAATGTTCTCAAGATCAGAAAAATGAGGAAAGCCAAGCATCATGTGGAAAGCATGGAGCTAGTCTCTATCAAGGAGAGGGGATCTATCCAGTTCTCCTGCTAACGATGGCGAGAGTTCATAATTCATTGGAAACCTAACCATATAAGTTACAACTGTCCTATATCAGTCAATATGATCACCAAAACAAAATCCAGGACGTACCTATAATAATCAAATAAATGATCAAGCATCCAAGATTGGTGATCATGACACATATTTGCACCAGGACCGATCCCACCCTCCCAAATGACTCCCTCATGACACCAGCATACGTAGTCGAGTCCCCGGCATGTGTGTACCTCATCAAAAATTCAACTGAGATATCTGCCAGCCAAGCTATAACCACAATCAACAGAAATGCTGGAACCACACCTAACACCTTGAGTGTTGCCGGGATTGACATAATTCCGGCACCAATAATGCTGGTGGACACGTTAAACACAGCACCAGACACAGATGCATGCTTTGCTGGCTGCTTACTCTCCGGAAGAAGCGGTACGTTTACTCCAGCCGCCGGCGACATATTGGAAGACGAAACTTTTCCGGCTAGAGGAAGTATTATAATCTGTTGTCTTGTTGTTAGTAATTACACATTGGATTTGTCTATATACATATGATGGGGTCCGTGGTAGGTTAGCCCAAATGCCAAAAATGTCATCAGGTGACAGTACATGTGATTAATTCAGGACAATCTAATGAAGGGTAAGTATGGAATTAGATTACTCATCAGATAATGGAGAATTCTGCTGTGATTAGAGGATAGGTTGGAGTGGGGTGAAGCAGTCGTGCGAAATTATTGAATGTACATAGACCCGAAGATGCGTTGAACGTACAGGAAAATGTATGTGGACGCAAAAGCGGGAGATGGGATGTGCTGTAGTCCTCTGGGAAGCCAAAAGTTTATTGGTTGAGGACCAAGGTCTTATCTGGCTGGCTATGTAGCTTCGCCAATCAACAGGCCTGTTAATTCTAAAAAACTCAGCAAAATTGGCTGGAACATGTCAATTCATCTGATTAATTCACCTTAACGACTCCAAGCTTATCAACATAACATTAAGTTAGTGTGGCATATTCTATGGATTTGTGGACAGTGACAATTTTCCAAGCAAGCTGAAACTGAAATTTCTTTTGACTAAAATAGAAGGCTGTGCAGAAAGATACATTTATTATCACATGGGGATGAAATGCAAGTGGGTGGGATTTCATCTGTTTTGGCTTTCGCATGAGTAAAATGTGCCGGTTCATAGAGGTTAAAGATAGGAACATCTAGCAGCCCACTAGGAAAAGGTTTTTCATCTTTAATTCTTTGGAGCCATTCAAGCAATCATCACCCCAACCAACAAACAAAAAGTACAGATTGTTCATGGCAGTGATCAGAGTAATTGTTGGCCACTTTTGCAGAACTTTGTTCTAGAGAAGCCTTTTTAATTGGTTTTCTCTCATTATTTATACTTTTTTTTTTTGAACTTCTTTTATTGATCTAGAGCAACCTTTATGAATTTCAGTAATATTGGTTTTAGTAAATTAGTAGTGGGAAACCTACTTTCAATAGGAAAATAAACTCATAAACTCCTCCTTTAGGGATATATAATTAGAAATAGTAACAGTCAATTCAATTATAGGGGTTTTGATTAATCATGAGTTCATCATCTTTTTCCCTATTCCCCTCCTTTGTAACTGCATTTTCAGGCTTAAGAGAATGGAAAAACATTCAGTAAGTATGTGGTAGGTGAGCCTGTGTTTTATTCAGAAGGAAGAAGGAATATCTAAATGTCCAAAGATGTGTTATTAGCATCATCAACTGATCAAAGACATCGATATCTCTTCTTATTTTATGCTGCAATCAAATCAGGAAGAGATAATGGTGTGAGCTGGCCAAGTATGATATCCATATCCCCAAAAGGCATTCTGCTTCTCTGGCCTTTACTTGCCCTTGAATTCTGTAACATTGCAGATCTGCTCTCAATGCAATAACTATTTATGATTTTGTTTTCTGTTTTAACTACTCCACAAGTTGGTCGTAATGGCTATCATGCTTGTCACAATAGCCAGGATGATCACCAAAATCGCCATGGTCTTATCTTTTCTTGTCGATATGCCATGAACATCCCTGTCAAGATATTGATTTTTTTGAGTTTAGTGATGACTTCATTGAAGAAGCTAGTAATTTGCAGTTATTCAAAATGATTTGAAATTGATACCTGAGAACTATGGCTCCTGGAAAAATGAATGAGAGGCAAACAACTGTTGTTGATCCTAAGAACTGAAAGAAGTACCAAATATTTGGTATGGCTATGGCGAATATGTATGTAACAGCAAGCAATGCACAGGTGAGAATTGCGAATCTCGGGGTGTCTCTGGCCAGAACAGGCTTCTTTGCAAAGAGGAGCTCATCTATGTTAGCTCTCAGGGAGAAATTCATTACAGGAAATACAAGAGCTAGGTGCATTGCATAGCTTAATCGAACAATATCATTCACTATCTGACCAACTGGAGAATCAGAATTTTGATCAAAGTTCACTAGCATGTCCGCCATGATGGAGTCCCCAAAGAGCAGGTACCCAAAGAAACCGATTGAGAAGTAAATAGCTATGCAGATTGCTAAAGAAATCCTGACAGCAGAGCCCATATCAGAAGGTCTACCAAGTTCTCCTCTTATTGGATGAACTGCATTCATTCATCCAAAGTCTTTCCATCAGAACACAAGGCAATTCAACTAATTCTCAAATGTTTCTAGCATTTTGTTTTATTTCTTAGCCAAAACTCTTAATATTTTCAAGATTTTAAGTTCCAACTTCCAGGTTTTTGATTCCATGCGACATAGCATATCAGTGCATACTAAAATAGAATTGCAATGCTGGTTGCTGAAGCAAGCCAGTTAGCAAATGAGCATGCTTTTGTGAAAAGAAAATTGGGAATTGCAGTTCTAAGAGAGGTGTATTTACTGTTGACATGGAATCCGAACCCGGTTACAAGGACTGGAACAGTTGTGAACAGATCAAAGATGGAGACTTGATTGGCAAAGTCCGGTAGCAATCTCAATTTTTGAGTTTTTCCTTTCCACAGTGCGTAAATTGCCATCGCTGAGCTTATAGCTATAAACAGTACAGCAAGGAGAATGGATACTGCTGAAGTGTGCCTCAATGAATCTGTCATAAAAGTGCAAAAAATGAAGGAAAAAGAAAAAGAAAATGGATGCCAATTATATAAAAAATCCAGGAAAATCTGCTGACTGACTCATATGTGGCAGCAAGACCAATGGAAGCACAACAAAGAGCACAACAAAGAGTATCACATAAGCACGGGAGTTCCACCATTGGATGCCAAACCATTCCTGTAAAAGGCCCAGGTGCAGGGTTCCTCCAGTCTGATTGCCACAGAGGACATCCCCTAGGAGAAAAGTACAGCATCTGATTGCATCAGTTTTCAATTTTCATTGCTTTATCAGCCATTGAATAGATTCATTATAATGAATAAAATTGAATAGCAGATGAAAATTTGCTTCAAATAACTGAAGAAAACAAATAACCAGATGCTCAGAAAAGGGAAAAGAAGAAGCGACCAGAATCTAGAAAACCAGGAAAACTAGAGGCCAAGAAAATCGCCACAACATAAAAGGCTTACCAATGATAATCAGATAGATGATGAGACAACCAAGGTTAGTGACCACAACACAGATTTGCACTGAAAGGGATCCGAATGACCCAAAGGACTCTGCCATTAACCCAGCATAGGTTGTCGCTTTGCCAGATTGAGTATACCTCAGCAAGAACTCGACTGTGACCTCAACCAAGAATGCAATCATGAAGATGACAACAAAGGCCGGAATGATTCCTAGGACCTTAACAGAGGCTGGAATCGACATGATTCCAGCTCCAACCATAGTTGTGCAGATGTTAAAGACTGCACCAGAAACTGATGCACCCCTTGAAGATTGACATTCCAAAGAATCGACATTTGGTAGAAGTGGAATGAGCTCACTGGCTCCAGTTTCAGTTTGCTTCATGCTGTATTTTGGAGGGCTAGTTAGTTTTCTGAATAGTTTCTTTGTTCCTTGCAGAACTGTTATAGGTGAAATTGCATTTGAATCATGCACTTCATGTTTTCATTATTTCATAAACATTTGAAGGAAATAGGAATATTGAATAATTCTCAGAAGCAATAAAATAATGAATAAACCTGGTTTGTCAGGTTTTGAAAGGATAAGATTTGCTGACCAGAAATCAGCTAGTGCCATTTTCCTTTTCACGTGCTTTTTTAAAGCTAATATTTTTTATTCATGAAGTAGGGGGAAAAAGGAAATTATGTTTCCACTATGGAATCTCCAAGATTTTTTTTTCTTTCTACTGTGAATTGTTGATTTTGTGAACTTAATTACAGATCTTGTTCATCTCCTGCAGTGGCTTGAACCTGTTCAATATCCAAAATAACATTTGCTGGCTTTGTTATCTGCTGATTGTAATCAGTCATCTCCCACTTGAATGATCTTTACTTCTTAATTTAATTGCACAAGTAGTTGAAGTTGGCAACACCCTTTGCCTTGGCAACCACCATTAAATCTTCCTTCCCCCAAATTTCAAGGGGTTGCTCGAAATTTGTCCACCTGACAAGGTCTACCACAGCCACTGGATAACTTGACTCTAAAATTTAATGTCGATTAGATTAGTCAATTAACTGGTTCCAGGAAGGAAAAAAGGTGATGTGTAAACAATTTTACTAACAATCTAACATCTAAATTTATGTCAATTGCAATTTGATTTGAACTATAATGGTTAGAACCCAAATCGGATATGAGCAAATAAATGCAAACAAGTTTGTTCTTTGGTACAAAATGAAAGCAAATTTGATTCAATCAACCTGAATTTCAACTTTTTTCTGTCCATTTTTCAGAGAGAGGACTAATTCCTAAACCAAATGTACATGCAAGTGGAAATGATTGTGGTAAGATTTGACTACGCTCTACCCAAACTACTAAATTGTTCAAAGCTCTCCCCTTTGAAACTGTAAAATTCACGCTGCAGTGTGAACGGAAAATTCTTACCCTACATGATTCAACACTCTAAACGACTTCGTTTCAACTTTTATTAACTTTTCCTCCCCCAATTCAGGGCCGCATGTTCACAAAGGAAGAGATACGGAATGACCTTGGATTGATGCAGAAGCTGTTCAGTGTACTGTTTGTTGTGTCATGCTTGAAAGTACATCTGTACATCATGTTGCTGCAGCTAAAGCAAAAGGCAATTTTTTTTTTTCACTTTTTAAGGGCGATTTCAAAAAATATCAGAAACAAACAGGGTGTCTCATGAACTCCTTTTTCAGTTTTCCATATGTAAGCCTAAGTACCAGCTTGTAGTTTTCTTCTGTATCAGGTCAGTTTTCAGATGCGTTAACGTTTGACTTCATATTATCTGTTTCCCTTTCTTCTGGTTGGGTAATTTTTGTTCTTTTTTTTTTTCTGTTTATTTACGCTATTTTCCTATTAAATGAAAGAAACTGTACAAACTCCTGGGTGTTTTTCTTTCACCTGGTAACCCTTCTGATGATAAAGAACAAATTTTGATGCCAAAATAGATATTGAGCAAGTATAAGGTCTGAGATTTAGGTTGTAGGATAGATTTTATGATCTGGGTCAATTCTGTTTATCAAAATAGTTTTACTTTTGGTGATTTTTTATCTTTGCATACCTTCCTGGTACTCCTAGAAGTCTTTGTGTTAGTTGATTTAGCTTTGCAGATTCCTTGCTTCCCTCCTTTTTTGCTACAATAATATTGGTAGTAACTGCAAAATCTTAGATCGTTTGTCATCTGGTTTTCTGTTTTAGAATTACACTGTAAGAGTTAGGGCATAGGAGCTTCTCTCTGTGAAGCACAGTGCCGGGATTGATTGAGAGTTCAAATTGGATATTAGAATGGCTTCAAGTGGTAATGGGAATCAAAAAGACCAAGGTGAGGAATCCCTTGTCACTAATACAAATGGACAAGTTCCTCTTCACATTTCAACATCACAAAGGATGCTTCTAAACGATGAAAACCCTCAAAGGTCCCTTAGCAGCTTTATGTCTACCCCAAATAGAATAAAGTTTTTCAAATTTGGTTCTGCATCTGCGAAATTCAAGCGTATAGCTGAAGAGAGAGATGAGATTTCTCGGTTGGTGGCTTCCTCAAGTGGTCATCGTTTTCGAGAACGCCTGACTGGGGTTTTTGCAAAAAAAATTGATTGGGTTTCTCTCATGAAAATGTCTAAGCAATGGATTAAGGACCCAATGAATATGGCCCTCTTTGTATGGATTATGTGTGTTGCTATCTCAGGTGCTATTCTGTTCCTTGTCATGACTGGAATGTTGAATGCAGTGCTTCCTAAGAAGTCCCAGAGAGATGCATGGTTTGAAGTCAACAATCAAATTCTCAATGCGCTATTTACTCTTATGTGTCTGTATCAACACCCTAAACGATTTTACCATCTTGTGCTTCTTTGTAGATGGAAACCAGAAGACATTTCCCGACTCAGAAAGATATACTGTAAGAATGGGACCTATAAGCCCCATGAGTGGGCACACATGATGGTGGTTGTTGTGCTACTCCATATTAACTGTTTTGCTCAGTATGCCCTTTGTGGTCTGAACTTAGGATACAGGAGATCTGAGCGACCTGCCATTGGAGTTGGAATATGTGTATCAGTTGCAATAGCTGCACCGGCGATGGCTGGTGTTTACACCATTGTTAGCCCTCTTGGGAAGGATTATGATTCTGAAATGGATGAGGAAGCACAAAGGCAGATTGATACTGGTGAAAGTAGGAGGCCAGAGCAGTTAAGGCGACAATCATTGGAGAAGAGATACTCATTTGCATCTGGAGGTGAAGAAAGAATTGTTGAGAGTAGACCACTCTGGAGTGGAGGGATCCTTGACTTTTGGGATGATATTTCTCTAGCTTATCTTTCTCTTTTTTGTAGTTTTTGTGTCTTTGGGTGGAATATGGAGAGACTTGGGTTTGGGAACATGTATGTACATATTGCAACTTTTCTCCTGTTTTGTATGGCTCCTTTCTGGGTTTTCAACTTGGCTGCTGTGAATATTGATAATGAGACTGTCAGAGAGGCTCTTAGTGTTACCGGAATTGTTCTTTGTATGTTTGGTTTGCTATATGGTGGCTTCTGGAGGATTCAAACGAGAAAGAGATTCAATTTGCCAGCTTATAGCTTCTGCTTTGGTCAACCAGCAGTTAGTGATTGCACACTGTGGCTATTCTGTTGTTGGTGTGCTCTTGCTCAGGAAGCACGCACTGGGAATTCTTATGATATTGTAGAAGATAAGTTAATAGAAAAGCAAATGGACAATGGTAACCAGCAGCTGATATCACCTTTACCTCGTGAAGATGGGATTGGGCAATTTAGTCCTAGCCCTAGTTCTTCACCTGGATACAATTCTAGCCCATCCATGAAATTTACAGCCTATTCTTCAGGTCCTAGAATAGTTTCAAAGGAATATTATAGTCCAGAACGGCAGCTTTCTATGGTGAAAGAAGAGTCGTTTGTATGTGGTAAAGATGAAACTATGATTCCACCCGCTCCATCATTGATACAGAGAGAGGCAACATAATTTGCTGAAGTTTTCAAGCATCATTGTCCTGGTATGATGAATTGATGTTCATGTAGACGGATGTTTTTGAGAGCATTGAGAATGGATTTACATAATTTCACATTTTCTCATACTTTCTCATTTCTTTTCCTTTTTGGATGAACCTATGTAAAATTTACATTCAGGAGCACAACACTGTTATTCTGGAGATATCTCTTTCTTAGCAGCATTAGTTTTCAGATGGTATTGCAATTTTTGTTCATAATTCAGATTGCAACTTAATGCCTACCAAGAGCATTAACTTTTTGAAGCAATCTATCTTAAAGGGCAATGTTCAAATTCTATGAAACTTTATACAGATCTGTGCATCTTATTGTTCTTTTGTTTTTTTTATCCTCATATTGATCTGTTCAATACCACCTTTTTAGTTTGTGAAGAATTTGTCCATGATGAGATCCCAAATGAAACTCAAGCTGAGTAGCCTAGAGAAATATCAGATAATTTTTGATGATCCTTTGCTATCTTCAGACACTGAATATGCAATAGAGTTTCTTTGAAGTACTAACACACAACAGGAAGATGTTGGGATTTGACTAAAAGCTATCTATACCTACTTTTCATTATCTCAACCTGATTGTTATTAGGAGGAAAAGATGGTTGAATGTGAAGGCCATGGAAATGGAGTATGGTTTACTGTTTCTGTGGTTTAGTTGCATCATATCTGCTGATTGTTCTTTACTTTCGATCTGTCCAAAATGACCCTATATGAAGCTAAGCAGAAAAGGATTAGAGTAGGCGACTTCAAATTCTTGGGGACGTACCGGCTACTTTGTTGTTTTGGCCGGAGCAAACGTGCTACTTCCAACAATGAAAATATCTTCAACAATACAAAATTAACTACGAGGTTTTGTGTGTGTCTTGTGTCAACAAAAGCAATTGTTGTTGTCTAATGAAGCACGATGCTGCTGACATATAAACATTTCCATTTTCATATTAAACAATTGCTTCGTTTGATTAGTTTAATGCCTTAATCATGAATTAGATATCATGAGGAGACATTTCACATCAAATGTATATTGTTTTACACGTAGAGAAACCCGCACCCACACGCACATATGCGTCTGTGCGGTCAGGAAACGCATGATACTGTGCTGAGAGATAAAGAGAAAGAGAGGAAGATCAATTTTCTTCTGGTAATGGAGTGGTTAGCTGGTCAGATGGTGACAAGGGCTCCATAAGCATAGGCAGAGGGATCTCTCCAATCATTTTTAAATTTTTATAACTTGTCTTTGTCTTTTAAATATTTTATAATTTTGTCCCTACAAAACATTTAAAATTTTTCTAACATATATTTTATTTTTAAAAATTTTATAATTTTACTCTTATAATTATTTTTTATTTAGTAAAGCACAACAATTAGTCAACAACTAATTTTAAATAAAACTAAAGCAAAACCAATTGTATTTTCAAAAATAATAATAATAAAACTAATTACAATAGAATTATTTTTAAAACTTATTTCTCCACCTCACAATCGCTACTAGCTCTTAGGGGTGAGCAAAATCAATTCAGACTAATTACTTACCTAAATCAAATATGATTTGGATAAAACAATTCAATTGAATTGGTTCATTGAATCAATTGGTCCAAAATATTAGGTCCAATTGATTTTTTAGTCAGTTCTCGATTTTAAAATTTTTGGATCAATTCACCTAAAAAACCAAACTAGTTTTTTGTATATATATATATATGTAATTTTTTTTAATATATTAGGAAGAATTGATAGTAAACTTAATTAATAATATACTTAAAATATATTAAGGTATTATATGTACACATACAAATCATAATCATAGCAATTTCATATTAGTGATATATATATATATATATATATAAATTTGTATTAATATGAAATTACGAGTTATATATATTAAATGATATAACTTATGTTAATATTATAATAAATGATAGTAAATATCTTACATACTAATATGTTATAATTATTACATTTTAGTAATGTTTCGTAATATAAAATGTTATGAATATATATAATTGAGTAAATATATTATATATACATATATTTAATTTATACATAAATATTACTATAAATTATAATAGACTTTATTTATATGATTATACTAAATAACTTTATTAGTTATCATCTTATTTTTTTTATAACATTGTTTATAATTAGTTATTATTTATACAAATTTTGATATAAAATATTTTAAAATATAATTTGTATCATTAAATATATATATACATATATATAACGTCATATATTATATATACATATTTAATTTATACATAAGTATTACTACAACTTATAATAAACTTTATTTATATGATTCCACTTAATAAGTTTATTAACTATCATATTAGGTTTTATAGCATATTATTTATAATTAGTTATTATTTATACAAACTTAGATATTAAACATTATAGCATATAAGTTATATCATTCATTTTATATATATATATATATATATATAATTATAGATAAAGTTTATAAGTTTTAATATTATAATTTATAAAAAAATATAGTGATAAAATTTTAGTCTATTTGTCTCAAACCGGACTAAACAAACTAATTTTATATTTAGTCGGTTTAGTCTTTCTTTATATTTGGTCAGTTTTGATCGATATTTTAAAAATAATTGGTCTATTTGATCCTTAAGTAGATAGGACCAAACCACCCACTCCATCAATTTGTTTGCCCCTACTTGCTCTCTTTTCTATTTATCAAATACTGTGGAAACAAAAAAAATCATTTTTTTTAAATTTTTTTCTTGTTAGCATTCTCTATGTAGAAAACTTTATTCAATAACTTAATTTTCATGTCATGATAATTGGTAAGATTGATTTATTTACTTATGTTATTTTTAACATTTTCAATTTTATATTTTTTCTTTATTTAATAGTTTTTACTTGATGTTTTTTATTTAGGATTTACCATCTTAGCTATTTTTTGTTGAAAGCAATTTGATTAAGCGTCTAAGGTTAATTATTCCTCATTTATTTAAAGATTACTTGATTGTTTTTCAACAAATTAGTTATGCATTTTTCTTTTGCTTATATTCTGGTGAATAATTAAGTTTTTTATTTAAGGATTGCTTTTTCGTTGAATTGTTTATTAATATCGTATTTAATTTTTGTGATAATTTTAAAGAATTGCTTCTTTATTGAATTATTTATTGATAGTTTTTAACATTTTTTAAGGGATCGCTTCCTATTGAGATTTTTATTATTATATCTGATCATTTTTATTTATTGTTAAGTTTATTTAAAAATTAAAATTATTGTCATTATTAAATTATTTATGATTGTACTAATTTATTGTTTTAAGTAAATTATTCAAATTGATTCCTTTGAATATCAAAAGCTTACAAGGTAGGTCTTCTTGTCATTTTGGTACTGATAGATTAGTTTCTCGGATAGGTCATAGTCGTGGCCAGCATACTAAAGCTGCCTATATGCCAAGCAAAGCAGTGCCAGCTTGTTGCACCACCAGTTATTGTTCCACCACCATGTTCTCTTGGCCAGAAAAAGAAGTTGCATGCTGAAATATAGTACAGAATGAGGCAGAAGTTACAATCGAAAGGGCATACTCATTCTACACTCAAAACTTTATTAAAAAAGTCTGCTTCCTGATTCAATAAAGGAAAGAATTGATCTAATGATCTAACTGTGACATGATGCCACTTTCTCCTTCAGGAAAGATTTTGGTTTTATTTTGAGTTTGGGCACCAAGGTGGGGTGGTTGAAAAGATTAAAAAAAAAAGGATGAAGTTTTACTTAAGTAATGCATCCAGGGAACTGAGTGGGAGGAAGGAAAGGGGAAAAGGGCAAAAGAAAAATCAGGTCCAACAGAATTCTTTTAGCTGACACAACTCAGTTGTATTCTACCAGACTTGTTTATCAAAGAATTCAGGACTGAAGTCACAAACAGTTTCATATTGGAAATCAACGCCATGTCGTGTACGAGGCCCCATTATTTATGAAACAACCATGTCTTTTCTCGTCAGTCACCTTAGTGGGACAATATCATGATGACATCAAATTTATATTAACCCTGTTCCTCGATCACTGACAGACAATTTAGCTTGAGTCATTTGCATTTGCCTTTCGGTTTCTTTCTGCTCTGTCTTTCCAAAGGAAAGCGACATTCTACGAAGGGTTTGTGTAAGAAACGGAAGGTGGAAATGGAGATGTTGGTTTGCTACGTGGCACAATTTGACAAGACAGACCGATGAAGATTATATCATCAGAGTTAAAAGATTTATGAGTTGGTGATGGCAGATGCAGAAAGATGGCCTCAGGCCTCAAAGCATCCCCGAAAAGCCATTACCCCTAAGGCTTTTTTTGCCCTTCTAAGGAAAGAAACATGGCCTCAGACTTGCACACGATTGTCCAATTTGGGGATTCAACATAAATTCCTTTTCTGGCCTTGAGTTAGAAGCCACAACAAAGGGTTTGTGGGGATTATTTTATTGAGATCATTTCAAAAAGCTTAGGTTGATGCAATAGTTTATCAATGTCAATGTTCATTAGCTTGACTGGTAGGACGGTTGGAAGCTGATAAAAAGGGTTTAACTGATCTATTGATGATACTTAGTGCTTAACCATCATTAATGGTTGGAAGCAGGTCCAGTTTCTTAAGTGGGAAGTGGGGAAACTTTATCACAAAAAGGGCATCAGCTTATCCAAAAAGCTTTCAATGCAGATTGAATTTCAAAATCATTTACTTATGTGCAAGCATTGTTTTTGCCAATGTGTAAAGTAGAATCCTACGCGTAGATCATTTTTGATGAGTGAATAAAACTATGGACAAAGTGATTTAACTATTCAGATTGAAAAAGTTGGCTTAATAGACTTCTGCCTAACTTTTACATCATAGGATGGGAGTCATTGTGTGGTTGAAATCTTTATGAGTTGACAATTTTTTCCTCACCAGCTGGGCACTGAACTACTGATACAATAAATGGGGCAGCAGCAGTCTATGGGTACCTACCTGATTTAGGTAGTCCAGGGTACCACTGAAACTTGAGTTATTATCATAGCATCCTCATTCCTCTCCATCAAAATCAAGGGAAACAGAATGAAAAAGCAGTTGAGGGTACTGGATTGGATTCTATCCAAAATTAACCCTTTGCCAGCTCAAAAACACACACCTTTTCCCTTAGCTGACACCAATTCTGTGAACATGATTCATTACAGGCAAGAGCTCATTGATTTGATTTCCATGGGAAGTGTAGCTCCTTGAA